GTGCCTCTTTTCTGACAAAGCTAATATGTAGCGTGGGGGTCTCCACCTAACATCAATAAGTTTATACATAAGTAATTTTTATAATCTTATGATAAAACTATAAAGCCATTAAGAGGCTCCTCCTTGATTTGCAACAAAATAATTATTTTTTCTTCCTTCTCGATAAATAGACCAAATTACTTAAAGTATTAGAGTAGTATTCAAAGTACCCCTGTGGCAGAATTTTTTCAGGCTTTCTGCAACAAAACTCTCTTTACTAATATCTTTCTGCAAGATACTTTCAATAATAACAAAGATGTAAGTTACTAATTTAATGTATCAAAAATGCTGTGTTTACAAAAACAAAACAGCAATGTAATTTTTTTAATTGAATATGTAATATTTTTCTTAAATGTAATATTATGGGATTCTAATATTCTCGAATTTTGTAGGAAGGGGGGATGCACTAGTTATCTCCGTTATCTCATTTTGCAAAACATCGTCTAATTAAAAAAATAACTAAAATATCATGAAATCTGCAGTAGTAATTACCGAAAAACAGATAGACGAGGAAATCATGCTAATCGAACTCTATAGAAAGCAGTTGCATGCTTCATTTCAAGATTTGATTGCCGTAATAAATAATATCATATAAAAGATATCAGGTAGTAAAAACTATTTTGAAATCAAAAGCAATAACTACCAAAAAAAAAAAGGTCGATAGAATAATTGCTTCAAAAAATAAATAATCAAATGCGCTATTCTAATTTCCCATATGCCCTGATATATATCGGGATATCTAAAAGTCACGTGAAAATCAATGTCAATAACTGCCAAAAATACACTCAAATTGGATTTACAATATTGGCATAAAATGAGAGCTTCAAAAAGTGATTATTTAAATTTGCAATTCAAATTTTATGTGTAAATTTCTGCAGAAAAGCAAACCAAAAATTATTACTCCCCAAAAGTAAAACCTTACTGCAAGAACTCTGTAGAGTTCTGCGACAATGTCGCCACGATTCTGGCACGGAGATACTGCTTGGTTGGATGGTAAAAGGAATAGAGAAAAACACCATTGTATAGAGTCATTCACGCAGTAGAACATGGTATTTCGGCAATTCCTAGTAATATGAAACTAAGTTAATAACTGAAGTGAAACTCTATTATAGACGAAACTTTAATCATGGTTGACATGGTAATGGATTCTTCACCACAATGTGCTCAATTGGAATATTTAGAACATTGAGAAAGTATTGCACACTGACAACAACTTGCTGAAATGAGTGTTCAGCAACTTATAGAAACATCCACAAGAGAGCATCAATTTAAATGGGGGTCCTTTTTCTGACACTATTTTCATGCAATTAACTTATGAATATTGGCAAGTATATGGCATACTTCAGTTTATTTGCAGAACACATCACTTTCCTTTTCTTTACATCCATTTGATAGCGGAGAGCCACATAGGATATCAGTCGATGCGACACTACTCTGTACAATATCTGTGTTAAGAAATTTCTAATAATACAAGATAATCTAAACATTTTTCAAAAGCTATTAAAACTGGCATTTTCATCTATTAATCTATCTTAATTCATTTAAATAAAATAATGTTAAAAAAATCTAATATATTTACAGTGTTACTACTGTTTTATTATATTATGCTAATACAGTTTTAAAACATATCAGAACAAAGTTTCGAAATTTTAGGGTATTATACTAGAATAATGTAATAAAATAAAAAACTGTCTCGAAAATTTTTAAGTTATAATTGTAAGGTATGTGTATAATTAGAAAGTCAAAACCAAGACCAATACACCCAACATTTAATTTATTGGTTGTTATCTCTCATTCCTCGTCGATCTTCAAAAACTAAAAATTCTACAATAACTATATTTCCAACAAAAAAATATTTTAACAATATCAAAAGAATTTTAAAAGTTTCTATTACATTGACTAAAGCTGAAACAAAGAATACAGAACTGAAAAAAAAAATCAAGAAAAAATATTTTGAGGGGTAAAAAAAATTTAATAGAGAACAATCAACATTCAGTGTATAAAATACAATAGCACAATCGTTCATATGTCATCATATAAGTGTACAACCATAAATATACATGCATTTACAAGATAAGAACTACTCTTGGACAAAGAGGTTCTGAATGAAGTGTGTGTTGTAGAAATGATAACTGATAATCACGGAGTATAACGAGCAGTTGAATAACAAGAGTTCAATGAATTTACAATTTGTACATAAATGGGTATTTATCTCTAAGGAGATTTCTCCAAAAACATTTAAATACTTTCTTACAAAGGAAAGCTGCTGACATTGATTTTCTTTTATAGGAGGCTTCTAGACACTAGAGATAAGGGTGTAAATCATTCTGAAAAGACAGTCAAAATTAAATATTACAATAGTAAAATTTTAACTACATAAATGGCATCACTGTTTAATAATTATAACAATCAATGGATAAATGCACTATATTTTGCTTAACGTTATGCAACAAATGGAACTATGCTTACATTGAAGGTTTTGCTTACTTTTTAGTGGTAAAATCGTAATGGATTCTAGGCAGTCAAGATTGTTGACAGCAACATTAGAATCAATCATTCTCATTTATTCGCAATTATTTAATTCTAAATTATCTACAGGCTTATTTTAAGTTTTAACAGTTTCTTCAAAACCTAAGTTATCTTCAATTTGCATAAATTAAGTTGTGGGAAACTACAAACTGTTATTTGTTTAAGTTATTGCAGGTATGCTTCTTAGACAAAATTTGATTAATGGCATTAACAAAACTTTGTAAATAGCAGTATTACATAAACTATGTTTTACAGCAGTAATATTTGATGTGTGCATTAAAAGTTCAATTTCGCAAAACTAAAATAAATAAATAAAGTGATGTTGCTAAGGTCTAAAAAGAAATTTAAATTCAAAATAGAATTTCTATTCAAGTACTAATTGCTTTTATGGGATGTGTGTAAGTGTGTTGCTTTAGGTGATAATATTAATATGAGCTTTTATTTCAGCATGAGAGTAGGATAATTACATATTTGAAATTTTATTTTTTATTTTGAAAAGGACATCCAAAACACCCACTAAATAAATGACAATTCTTTTCATCTTTTGGAAATAACTGGCAAAATATTTTGCATAAATTAATTTTAAAAGTATAAATTTAGATAATATAAAGAAGGGTTTAACTGTAAAGGGCTAAGCCCCAATAGAGTGCTTCCTTCCAGCATGAAATTAAAATTTATAGTGAGGGTTAGATATTATAAAACACTTTGCCAAGAAAGACTAAGGTATGGCATTAACAAATTATGCATGATTATGTTAGATAGCTATTAACTATTGCCAAATTATTAATTAATAGCCTACTCGAATTATCAATTAACATAAGCTTCAGAAATTTAAAATGTATCGGTGGATAAATTAGTAATGGTTCTTTTAAAGCCAAAACACTAAACTTTTAACAGACCATAATATTTATGTAAATAAATGTATTAGTAATTACTGAAAGATTATCTATTAATAGAATATATATCTGACTATTCTCCACTAAAAACACATCTCAGAATTTAAGGGTGGTTTCTGAAAAATTTAGGTCACAGATTCAGGTTGACCTAGGGAGAAATTTAGGTCACAGTTATTTGCATTTAAAAACATACTCCACAAACCTGTATTCATACACTAAGTATAATAGTTAACTTTATAAACAAATTAATTGGATAATAAGGAATCAATAAATTTACAGATGACTAGATACACAAAACAATTCCCTATTTATATAAAGTAGTTATAGTAGAATAATTACAATAAAACATAATGAAATAAAATAATCTTGTAATGCTATATATTTGTGATTGGTTGGTAGTAGAATTCAATGACATAAGGGTGGATAGACTGCAACAACAAATAAACATTATTATGCATAGTTATGTATAGCATAACAGTAATGTAAAAATTTAAAAAAAAGAGTACGAAACAAATGCATGAAATGTATGAATATAGAAAGAAAGATCAATATGGTCTCCAATGCACAATTATATAGTACTTGACAGTTAAAATCAATTCACTCAAATAGTAAAAAGTATTTTTTAAAGCCTACTTACCCATATAAATAATAAAAGAATGACAATATGTAAAAGCCTAACTTAATCCAACCTTCTTTCATTGCTCTGCTTAACTGATCAGCATTCATAATAGTAGTCGGGTCATACAAGCCTGGCCTACTCATCAAGGGTCTAGTACGATACCTGCAATAGGTAAAAATACGTAAAGTACATTTCAATAAAGTATAATTTTAAATTCATCCTGACTGAGAACATAATTGTATTAAAACTACAAATGAAATAGAGATAAAGCTTTTTTTTAAATAAAACTTATAATATAAGAGCACTAGAAGAAAATAACAAAAGGTGTCCCTGATCTAAATTTGTAAAGTTTTAAAAAAAAATTAGTGCTACAGATGTGAGCCAAAACTCGAGACCAGTAGCAGGATTTTGGTCTCTTAACACATTGTATCATCTTAGGTTTTGATAGCAACAGACGCATTTGAAAACTAAAAGATGTTTTTCTTATTCATCCCAGTTGTTTTGTGGATTTAGTCACAGACTATTACATAATTAATGTAATTGATTAAAAAAAACCAGACAAAGGGATAAAGTAGCAATGAAGGCAAAAATACTGACCCTATTAAAAGAGGTAAGAAAATATTTGCGAGTCATGTAAGACAATACATATTCATCAAGCTTGCAAATATTTCTGTAAAATACATGAACAGTAATTCTCCTTACACACTATAATGTGTTAAAATAGTAAATTAGATTATCATAGAAATATACAAGAAAAGAAATTGAATAATTTTAAACCTTTACTTTTAAAATTAAAATAGTAAATTAGATTATCATAGAAATAAACATACAAACAACATAATAGCATAATAAAATTCTGTACCTGTGAACATGGTATACAATGATGGGAATATTTAATAAAACAGTGAACCACTCAAAAGCAAATAGGAATAATGACGTGTAGAGTATATGGATAAAGTATTCTGGCAAAACAAGCTGAAAAGGTAAAGAAAATAGTTTATTTATTGAAATAACTAAATCAAATTTTATAAAAGTCAACAAACTTTATAATATAAGAATTACATATAAGATTCAGCAAATTAACAAAAAATTATTTAATATGCTCAGCAAATTTTAAAGTTGTTTTAAACAAATTGAAATAGTTAGTTTGAACAAACACAAATTAGGATATTAGAAATTAACAATGAGTTTATACACAATAAAGAAATCACTGATAGTTCTGTCAAATGATAAAGAAATTCTTTTCAAATATATGTATACACATTTAATTAATATTTAAAAAACAGAACTAAATGTTCATTTTTCTGACTAAAAACATTTAGCAAATAAAAAAAGACCAAAATTTGATATCCAAAAAAATGAATTTTAACAATGTAATAAATAAGGTTTTCAGATCAGTGTCTGGAATAAAATGTGGCAAGAAAAAAACACAAATAAGGGTATAAATAAACTTTTAAGAAAATACCAGATGAGACCAATTTAAGGGTAATAAACGACAGATATATAGAGAGAAAGTAAAACCTTGTTTTAGCAGACAGCTACTAAACTGAAAAATTTAACCACTTAAGAAAAGGACACGCTACTTAAGAAATCTAACACTAGAAACCATCGTTACTAAAGTCCCTTCATTTTAAAAAAAATAAAGAATTGGAAGTAATGAATTACATTAATATTTATTTAAATGTAATAATTCAAAATTAAAACACAAAAAAAAAAAATAATAATAATTATAAATGAAATACAATCTATACCATTTACATGGCATGCTTCGTTTTATACTGATCCAGCAGGAAAAAAGATTTCAGAGAAATTTGGTTCTGGCTTATTAGATTTCTGTGATGCATTCTAAATAGACTTAACATTCTACTTCCGATTTTATTATTTATAGAGAGAGATAAGTGTCTCAGTTTTTTACATGATATTTGAATGAATCATATTTAGACAAATGTTAGAAATTCTATAAGTAAGTTACGCATGAATTGTTCCTAAATTCAATACATAATATGAAATACCACCCTAGAGAAGAATACATGTTACAAAGAGCTATTGCAATACCAACCTCTAAGGTATCTGGTCCTATTCAGCTCTTGAAAAAAAGAAGTTGCTCCAACGTATAATACGCACATACATTGCAACAACATAAGGAATTTACAATAATGCTCTGAGTTTTTAATGAAAAGGCATAAGGAAATGTTAGTTTTAGAATATACTTCTTGCAATCCCCCCCCCACTCTATATGAAAGCTTGTTTTACTCCCTACTCCATTATTTTATCAATTAAAAAAACACTCACACATATGTTAAACTCGTATTTTAAAAAAATAACACAAAATAATTTACAAAAATTTTCAAAAGAAAAAGAATTTAAAAAAAAGCTTTCTTACATGAAAAATACTGTCCCTGTCAGGTTAAAACTGTATTGCCATATAGAGAGGATATATATTTTTTATTCTTAGAAAATTAGAACAGACAAGAATAATTAGCCAAAAGTTGCAGCATTATTGAATAAATTTTATTAATTAATACCAATTACAGGAATTAAGCAGTTGTACTTAGGCATACTGACAATTGGTGCTGCAGTGACTTCATTAACAAATACGAGAGGAAACAAAATTTTATACAAGATGTTAAAAATATGACTAATAAATAAATGTCACCAAAATCAAGTTAAAAAATCTGCTTCTACTCTGCAATCTAAACCATGATGCCAAATTTAACAAAGAAAACACTGTGGAGATCACTATTTTAGTACTAGTGCTATTACAGGGTGAGTAGCCAAACTCAACAAAAAATATGCACCTTTTAAATACTTTTTAAGCACTCAAAAAATATTTTTAAGCACTATATACATTAACAAAAGTCAAAATAATTTTCATGATCATAATAAAATAATTAGTTTCTGAAAAAGAACTCTTCACTTGATTATATTAGCCATTATAAAATGATCAAGAGATTTTTCGGTTCGATATCAAAGGGCGGAAAATGAAGCCTGAAATTGAGAATATCTTGCAAAATGCAGCAGAGTTGCACATGAAAGTGCAATAATCTCACTGAAACCAGCTCAGTTGTCGCACATACAGACTCGCAAGTATTTCATCAAACATGTAGAATGATTGGCGCCTTCATACTGGACCGACGGTACGACGAAATGGATTGCGGTTGAATGAATGCGGTTGAATGAATTGTGAATGAATGTGGAAAGCATGCTTATGCATAATACATAGCGAAAATCGACATGGTAAAAGAAAAAAAAACTAATTTTCAAAAAGGGAAAATTAAGCACTTTTTAAAAACACCCTGTGAAAAAAGCAGCTTTAAGCGCTTTAAAAAAAGAAAATCTAAAATAAGCACTTTTTAAAAACACTATGCACCATGTATTATAATTGCCAAGATTTTGCAACAACTTGGCCATGGCAAGCAAAAGTTACAAACTACAGAATGGGACAAAATGGAGAGATAAAAACTATAGTGGGGGGATTTCCATATTGTGATCTGTGGCAGAATAATCACCAAGTCTTGGCAACTAAGATCAAAAGAACTAAACGAGAAACTAAAATCAAAACATCACAGAACGGGAGCAACTACATATTTCATATTTCCTTATAATCAACCCTAGCAAACCAAAACAATTTTTTCAAAATATATAGCCAGTTATACAACATCTGGGCAGTTTTGTTTTGCTCTTTAGTAGGTGTATACAGGTATAAATTAATAAAAATATCCCGGAAACATCATCAGTTGTGCCTTATCAATATGCAGCAGAAATGAAATATTCTGCATCTCATAAAACATTAAAAGACAATTATCAGGGGTCTGTCCAAGCCAAATTTACTACCGTCTAGCTGTATCTTCACAAATTCAACTTTAGGAAAAACGGTAGTTTCACAAACTACTTTTTCTTAAAATTTTATTTTTATTTCTCGTAAGAAACGATAAATCCATATTTTCACCATATTTTTAAGTTGATTTTTTAATATAATTTTTAATTTTCACAAAATAGGTACCTCTCAGAAAAACCTACACAGACCCCTGATTATTAATTCATTCACATATCAAACATTACATACATGATTATTTATAATGCCATATGATGATCACATCATATAATTATGATATACATGAATTCAATTTGTAAATACGAAATTGAAATATTTCAAATCCTAAAGAGTTGCATGACAAATAACAACTCACATAAAGAATAAACATTTCATTAATGTAATATGATCATAAAATACAATATTTCATAATAAATTATAATATTTAATAGCAAAATAAATAAGTCCAATAAACAATTTTGGCATTACATACCGGATTTAAGCTGTTACACTGATCAATAGGATTTTTATAATCTGACTTTAATTCTTCAAAAACAATCACCTACAAATATAATTAAAATTTTAAACAATAAGAAAATAAACCTATAAAAAACAAACAAAGGAAGATTAAAATGAAATAACATTATTCGACATACCAGGTATTAATATGCAATAACAATACTCGAAATGTAATAATAATACTCAAATACCATGTTCTCTTAGTCCAAGTATTAAAATTAAACAAAACACAAATTAATTAGGAACAAATAAACTAGTTCTACCCTTATAAGAAAATTAATTAAAATTTCGTTAGCTTAAGAATACTCATTTTAAGTAATTCTGTATTTTTTTTTTTTTCCTGAAACTAAAAGAGATCCAAATATAGGTAGCAGTTATTAAAAATTTGTGTAATGAACTTCCCAACACTAGGAAGAAAATTATAAAATTAAACCAAAGATAATCAGCCATTGGGATGCGCTTAATAATCTACATTGAATAATCATGCATGAAGAAACAACTTTACAAAAGAATATCTTACATAACTTAATACATTTTAAAGAAATTAGACTGGTACTACCACTGACAACATTAACTACTTTATAAAACTAACTGCTACCAAACTAATACTAGTGATAAAAATGAAAAAGTTCGTAATCCCATGTCTAATTATTTAGAAACTTACATGATAAACAGCGAAAAATATTAAGAATGCAGTAAGTATTAATGCAACTATATAGCAGAAAGCGGCAAATGTGAACGCCATGTTTTCTGTTTCTTTCGGATTCGGAATCAAACGATGCCAACTTTTGATTATAAATTTAAAAATAATAAACGCAAATTAATCGAGATGCTAAGTGGTCATTCTCACTGAGCTCTAATGCATGAATCTAGATCACACTTGACAGAAGGCGTGGTTTCACAGCATGGTTTTCGCGTACCCATGATCACAGTGGAAGAAGAATGAGAACCTGACATTTTAGGGCAAAAAAACTCACCAATCGAATTTTCCTTTCGTCTTGACGTCGATCGAAGGAGTGTGAATTGCATTCATAAGACGATCCCAGAGTTAGAGTTTTGGTTAGGACTTACATCAGAAAATATCGATGTTATGCAATCATCGCAGATCCGAATCCGATGTTTGGATTGACGGTTATTTCGAAGCATATGAAATTAAGGATTTACCCGCGATGAGCACGATAATTCCCTATGCATCGTAGAAATCGATGTCTACACCCCCGATGAAGAAAAGTGTTCCTAATAGCGCATTGATGGTTCAAACAGCGCAATTGTCCTGCAAATATAAATGATCGTAAGTGAACAGTGATTGCCATTGTGAATTGTGATTATCATTATTCTTCATCGTCACTAATCCCACAGAGATAAGTCACGAAGCAGTTTGCTCGCGTCTTTATACCATTTAGTCGTATATGTAAGGATGGGGATTACGGTTTTGTAAATCCTCTCTACCTGTCCATTTCCTCTTGGAGTTATTGCTGTTATTAGAATGAGTTCAAAATTTGAAACTGACAGAAGTCTTGAAATTCCTGTGTAGAAAAGCACCTCCTTTGATCAGAGATAATTCTTGAAGAATTTCGACTTTATTGCTTGCTGTTTTAACTTTTGCAAAGCATCTATCACGGGGAATATATGTTGATAACTCATATTCGTGGAAGGTAATTGACTTAAGAAATCTACATGAAGTGTGCTTAATGGAATGTCTTTTTTAAGGATTGGTTGTAAAAATAATTCCCTTTTTCCCCATTAACGATTACACAATATACAAGCAACACAATTTGTTAAAACAGTTTCAATTTTATTTACGGAGACCAGGAATATGAAGGTCTTTAGCACCATCTCTTATTTATCGCCAATGCATGATGACCTTTAACCTGAATTTCTTTTATAATATTGGTGGACACTTTAATGATTTTTTGTATCAAAAGTGAACTTTGATATAAATTTCAAATCAAAGGAAATGTGTCAAAATTTTTAAAAACTTACATATGCTAAAAAATATTCTAAAATTAACTTAAAATTTTTTTTTAATTTGTCTTTGCAGCTTTATATAAATAGCACAGGTGTCGCTAAGATAGATGATGATGCAAATATGATATGAGGCGGGTAAAAAATTCTTAGTAGCCTAAATTTAATGTATACTTTTGTCTATTTCTTTTATAGGCATTGTTCGCTTTTGTTTTCTAATCTATCTTATTATATAAAACGCTAATACGTACGTATGTATCAATAAAACCGATGACATTTCTTTTCTCGCGCTGGCAACAGTTTTCATTTTTAATTGATTGAATTCGGCGCACAAGAGCACGCAGTGAGCATCATATGGCTAATCTATATTATATAAAACGCTAATACGTTTTAATTGATAGGCTTCGGCGAGCAAGAGCTCGAAATGAGCATCATATGTCTAATCGGGGGAATTCTCACCGAATTATCAAAAAAAATTATCACAAAATTATCTTCATCGAAGCCGCATCGGCTTCGATAAAGATAATTTTCATCCGGCGTTCAGTACTATTTCATATTTTTTACAACACATGGTTTTAGCCCTCGGATGGGAAAGACTTTAAAACAAAACTTAC